TCTACCGTATCGTCCGATCGTCATCTGGCGACATCTCTCGTCTACTTTCTCTACCGCAAAATTAAAGAACTTTTTATTGCCCGTATTTTAATTATGTAAAAATCAATCAAACGGTAATTTTCCTGTTTATGAAGAAATTAACGAACTTTTTTTATGACAAGAACGTTATGTATGCGGAAAAACCGATAAACATTTTATTCAAATTTATGAATAATTATTTAAGGATGGTATAAGTAGAATGATTATGATAACATTAACAATATAAATAAGGGTTGAAACATTTTTTAATTAAGTACATTACATCATAACATCTAATAAATATACAATGATCATAGGTACGAAATTCTTTCATCTTGCCACTATTTCGATCATTACAATATAGGCAACACACCATACACTTCAGGTTTTGGCACGTACTGCATAGTATGATTATTGTTTAAATACTTTTTAAACAATGGTATGATCTTTGCCTACTAACTGTTTCGCATACAGGACTTTGATTCGGAAAGGTACGACCGATTGTAATTTGTAATTTTGATAAAAGATCAAAAGTTTCCCCATCCATTTAAATACCTAAGGGGATTTCAATCAAAAGTTGAACCCCCCATCATTTTAAAGGCCATGAAACTCTCTCTCAAACTTGTTACAAAAAAACTCCCTGACAGAATATGCCGCTCTGGAACTGTTTACGAACCCAGCTATGTATATTTCTCGAAAAGGAGACCTTGGAATATTTTGAAAATTTGACAATATACTGATGCCCATAAGTTGCACTCATTTACATTTATTTTCATGTTATTATTATTTTAAATGAAACATCCTATACAGGGTGTACATTTTTCGACTACCACTATGAGTATCTCGCTTGTCTTAAGTGATAGAAAAGTTGGTTAAATCAGGTCAAAGTTGAGAATTTTCGTGCTGAATAATAATCTGAAAAGAAATTTAAAAGATCGTCAATAGTTCTGAAAATATCGTACATTCTGATTTTCTTGATTCATTTTGTTATGATAAACTTCTAGTACGAGACATTTGTAACCGTTTATAGTAATTTTCAAGATGACGGAGAAACGCGTGTGGCTTCTTTATTTTTTCTTATGGACCTCATTCTGAATTTTGACATTTGGAGAAGGCGTCTTTTTTAGCGTAACACATGAAGTGGAGGTAACTCTTATGAGCTCGATTTTCCGCCGTCTGTCTGTCTGTCTATTACATCGAGATCTAGGCCCCTGCGTCACCTAGAGAGAGTTTTCGCTAATTGATGGTAGCTGCTATGCTCTATATTTGCCCGTTACTCATCATTTATTACGGGCAACACCCCTAAATGGGTTTTTTTCTCTTTACAACGATGGTTTCCTTAAAATATAATTTTTTATTTTTTTGCAAAGAGCAGTGGTAAATTGGTAAATTTACACTCATCATAATTCATATAACGGTTATTAAGGAAATTTGGATTTTCCTGAATCTGATTATTTACAAAAAGCTACCCGTCGTCCATGATCTCCTGAATGAAGAGCGTTTGAGAAATATGAATTGTGCAGGGCCCGTATTTATGTTTTTTAAGAGGTCTCCAAGTCACTGAGGATGGTAAGGTAAATTTAGCTGAGCTGCAACTTCTCTTGAGGAGAGAGAGAGATTGTCTTGCACCTAATTATGATTTAAATTTGTAATCATATAAAATTTTTACCAAGTTTCCGGTTCATATTCATTGAAGGGCCTATCATCATATTGTCGTCTATTTTTTTTTTAAAGAACCATATTCGTCCAAGTTTTTATGCAGTTGAAAAATACCTCAAACTAGGTTCGGGCCACTCTGAATAATTGTGCAGAAGCCATTATTATTCAGCACGAAAATTTCAAGCTTTTGATTAATTTGTTGGTTTCCTTGCAGTTTGTATAACAAAATAGGCGTATTACCTTCCTTTTTTACCAAAATTCGACTCCACCGAAATTTCTCGGAAAAACACTTTTTCTTATTAATTTGGGTGCGTAGAATCAATTCGTACTTTTTCGATCAGACTTCACAATCCAAAATTACAGACCAATTTCGAAAAAAATTCAAAGGGCTGTAACTTTTGGACTAGTAGCCCAATCTTGGAACTGTTTGTAATTATTAATTCTACAAGCCACATTCTATAAGAAAATTTTTTTCCGGGTCGATCTGAGACAATTTTTTTTCGGGGCTCAAAAAAAGGCAGTGTATAATAAACCTTCCTTTTTTACCAAAAATCGACTACACCAAAATTTCTCGGGAAAACACTTTTTCTTATTAATTTGGGTGCGTAGAATCCAAATCAATTTGTAGTTTTTCGATCAGACTTCTCAATCAAAAGTTATAGACTAGAAACCAATTTCGAAAAAAAATTCAAAGGGCTAGTAACTGTTGGAATTGTTTGAAATTATGGATTCTACAGGCCACGTTCTATAAGAAAATTTTTTTCCGGGTCGATCTGAGACAATTTTTTTTTCGAGGCTCAAAAAAGAGAGTTCCTTTTTTACCAAAAATCGACTATACCAAAATTTCTCGGGAAAACACTTTTTCTTATTAATTTGGGTGCGTAGAATCCAAATCAATTCGTACTTTTTCGATCAGACTTCTCAATCAAAAGTTATAGACTAGAAACCAATTTCGGAAAAAAATTCAAAGGGCTGTAACTTTTGAACTAGTAGCCCAATCTTGGAACTGTTTGAAATTATGGATTCTACAGGCCACATTCTATAAGAAAATTTTTTTCCGGGGCGATCTGAGACAATTTTTTTTTCGGGGCTCAAAAAAAGGCAGTGTATAACCTTCCTTTTTTACCAAAAATCGACTACACCAAAATTTCTCGGGAAACACTTTTTCTTATTAATTTGGGTGCGTAGAATCCAAATCAATTTGTACTTTTTCGATCAGACTTCTCAATCAAAAGTTATAGACTAGAAACCAATTTCGAAAAAAAATTCAAAGGGCTGTAACTGTTGAACTAGTAGCCCAATCTTGGAACTGTTTGAAATTATGGATTCCACAGGCCACATTCTATAAGAAAATTTTTTTCCGGGTCAATCTGAGATAATTTATTTTTCGGGGCTCAAAAGAAGAGAGTTCCTTTTTTACCAAAAATCGACTACACCAAAATTTCTTGGGAAACACTTTTTCTTATTAATTTGGGTGCGTAGAATCCAAATCAATTCGTACTTTTTCGATCAGACTTCTCAATCAAAAGTTATAGACTAGAAACCAATTTCGAAAGAAAATTCAAAGGGCTGTAACTTTTGAACTAGTAGCCCAATCTTGAAACTGTTTGAAATTATGGATTCTACAGGACACATTCTATAAGATAATTTTTTTCCGGGTCAGTGTATAAGAGCTGAGCAATTACTTACTTACTCTCAAGGAGCAATCCATTTATGAAAAAAACCGTAACACCTACTTCCCCACGGCCCATCTTTACATAATTTTGCAATTCATGTTATACCTCCTACTACAGAAATGTAGGAAATATGAATATCTTTACTAAATATACATTATCTTAGCAAAACTCCTGCGACGGGAAGGCCAAGATTTGTTATTGTGCATATCCTACTGATCAGAGAGAACTATCCGAAAACCTTGCACAGATGGCATATTTCACAAAGTGAAAGGTTCTATTTTGGGCAATTAACTGACTATTCATTCCCTCAGCAGATACTCATCTTAAGATTTTTTGACAATTAGACGGTAATACATGTGGAAGAACAGGCGCGAGGGTGCGTTATAAAATCTTGGTATTCTTGGAAATGTGCGAATTTTTAGCAGCTCCTCCTGCCCCCCACAAGAGGAATATCATAAGGTTATAAATAAACCCATAAAAAGGAGAACAACCCCCTTTGTAGTGATAAGGAAAGTATTGGAGATCTAAGTCATATAATCTTAAATTGAAAGTTAAATGCAGAATCCACCTCTCTACTAGATCAAGAGCTAATTGATATTAATATTCCTCTCTCCATTAATGTCACTACTCTTATTAATATAAAGAAGTGTACGATAATTTAATACGATTTTTGCTTAGATCCAAAATAGAAATTTAACATCATTTCCTGCTATCCAATAATAGTTTTGTGGCACTGGGGTAGTCTAATGCTATAAAAAAAATGTAAACAACATTCGATTTGAACAAATTTTGAGTTTTCTTCATTTCAAAGCACATTACTTCCCTTTCCCCACACTTAATTACCGCGCTTTAAACCTAACAATCATTGATTGTGGGTGCATTGCATTGCATCCCAACGAATGTTTAAGGATAGGTCTTTAATGCAAATAATATTCCCACAAGGGAATGGGAGAATAGTATGCTCATATATTTTAAAGATTGGTTGCGTACTAATTATTGCAATAGGTAAGATGAAGTGAGAATTGAAATGCAATGTTTCTATAGCAATGCATACTGCACATTTGTCTCCTCTGCCAAGCGCTAGCGCCTTCTCCCAATAATATGGGACCAAATTTGATCCCAACAAACAAGGGGGTTGTAACAGGGTCAATTCCTTACCCATTTAATTGGAGGGTGCAGGAATACGACAGACATCATGTCACCGGCGGATTAACCTTGCATATTTTTATAGGGCGGAGAGGGAGGAAGCTACATTTAAAAAAGTAAAACAAAAATGGTCCATAAAAAATACTTTTTATCTTTTTTGATACACTGTGCATACTAATAAAATTCTAGTATAACAAATAGCACCGATAAGTAACGAGGGAAATATTTTGGGGACAACTGGAAAATGGCCCAACAATTTTAAGAAAAACAAATGAAATTCTTGTGAGATTTTTAGTATATGGGAGCAAAACAAAAAACATTCAGTTTAGGTAAATTTAGTATTACAAGTTTGTGTCTTTAATTCGTGCAATTAGTATAACATACGCATACCTAAGAATTAACACAAAAAAGAAAGTTTCTATAAAATTTATTTGATTGGTTGTTTAATAATACATTGGAATTACCATGTATGGATTTTGAAGACTACTTACTTAACAAAAATAGACAACTAATTTTATTAAATTCAAATACATAATGACAAATATATGTAACAACACTCAATAAATAATGAAATAGAGAATTTTCGATATATTAAATAGAGTTTAAGATCATTATAGCGCGAGGACCAGAAATTATACACAAATTAAATTATAACCATAAATTAAATAAATGGATTACATAAAAACTCGAGTTACCTCAAATCTGTTAAGGGGGCGAAATTTGATTTGGCCACACTGACTCACTTGAAGTAACCCGGTTAATTATATAAAACTAACAATAAATTGCAACAACTTCTACAAATACAACATATTCTGTTATTACATACAACACAGAAAAGCCAACAACTTGAAAAAGTATTTGTCATTTTGATTGTGAAACTGCGACATTTGAAGCGATTTGTTTTTTTTATTAGTTACATTTGTAAAAGAACGTGCATGACGATAAATTAATGGAATTTTAAAATGATTAGTTTCCTAAATGATACCAAAAAATGTTAAGTAAGACAACACTGAAGAACACTGCTAGACTATCAAAGCACACGAACCATTTACACCAGCAGTAACTAACACTAGTTATAAACATGATTTTGTTTCTTGTGTTAAATATATAATATTCTATATTTTTCTATACAACATTATCAATAACTAAGTTATATAATACAAATGTTCCCATCTCTTTTATGCAACAATATGTATACGTATTAAATTTAGATGTTTTTGAAAGACATCAGTTTTAACAAAGTGGGTTTGATTTTTTTTCAATTTTTGTAACTGGCCATTGTTATTTTTATACTTTTAAATTAATCTTTCACTTTACATAAAACAGTATCGATTAATTATAAACAAAAAAATAAATATATAAAAATTTTTTAATAACATATCTAACTCGGATTTTTAACAATCCTCTTTTGTCGAAAGTCGTATACTCGACGACAAAAAAATATTAAATCATATGATGTTAGACAAGTTGATGGTGGTTGTCGGTGCGATCTAGGATATGGTTCTGGGTTTGGTATGCACGTAGACGTGTCCTCCATTCCTTCTTCTATCCTTCTCAGTGACTTACGATATCTGAAATCCCACAACATGCCATATTGTCAATTTTTTTAATTTATTTTATTGAGTTTCTAAAGGCCAAAAAACTTAACTTTAAAACACGTGTGGTTTATGTTATCTTTTCGGTATTGGTAAGTATTACAAATTGTCAAATTTTATGTTGCGAAACAAGGTATTTAAAGTTACTTTTATATTGCAGTTAAACTTACCTGCAATACTCATTAAAAGTAAGTACAAAACATTTATCTTCTATACAGGCCACACTATTTGTATCTTTATGTCGTGAAGCAAAAACTTCATCCGATTCGTCGTAATCTTGTCGCCCTTGCTCCGTATGCTCAGGCCGATAGTACCATAATAGAGACATCATCATTTCACCTAAAAGCAATGCGTAATTTTCTTGTATGTAACAATGGATGTATACCAACCGTCATCAGGATTTTCCCACAGAGTCGCCACTTTGGCAACGAAAGGTAAATCGTTTCTTCTAGGACCAGCCTTTAGTAACACACAATCTTTTGGCTCTATTGTATCACCTTCGGCGTGCATCATTGCGGGGTAACATTTTCGAACAACAACGGTTTCATCGCTCTGAAAAATTGAACTATTTCAGAAACGGTGTTTATATACCTACTCAACAATTTGAAACAGTTTAATACAGCTATATTCCTTGCCTTACTCTAATATGATTTTTTAATGCATTTTTAGGATTTTTAATAAAAACATTTGGCGTGTATCCTTTAGTGTTAAAATAGACTTTCATTATACAATATTTAGAGGCGATGTGAGGATTTGTCGGCGTGATTCAATTATAGTTTGGAAATTGTTGTTGAACTCCACCTAGGATACTAAAAAAATATGCCATCTGCAGCTTTTATGCATTCACCAGCGACCTCTCCACCTACCACACAATTTCCATTTCGAGTTTTCAGATTTTCCTTGGCCCAATCCATAATATTCTGAAGAGATGCGTTCGTATCTTCCAGGGGAGCAATTTGCAAAATAATCGCGAGTTTTCTAAGGTCAACTTTTTCGTTCTCACCATATTTCTTTTTACCTTTTGATTTTTAGTAGGCCGCTACAGATCAAAAACATTCGCTCCACTTCAATCATACGCTTCTTCGTGACGTCACACAGACAAACACCCAATAGGCAGACTCTACTCACGGACCACCTTTTTTTTTCTATCGCTTTAGATCGCAATTAACACGGGATGTTGTTGGATTTTCCACGGAAGTCGTTTATTGCAACATTTTCACTTTTCCTAGCCAGGAAAGTCTTTTTGCATCTTCCATGGTGGTCATTCTTCGAAACAATCGCCGCTTCTCCAAGGGACGTTTTCCAAGAGTCGCCTGTTTCTATCAGTTGCTTTTAGTTTTTATGTGGAAAGGATGCTTAGCGTCCATGCTTCATGTCAAAAATATTTGTAGTCGCGTAACAGAGATGTATTGTTCTGTATTCAGAATATTATAAAATAATAGACATTCTTCAGGCTTTATTCTGAACCACACTTCTTCATGGCTTATTGACATTTTTTTATCATTCAGATTTACCTGTGTAAACATGACCAACAGAAAGTGCTGGAAATTATTTTTGTACGGAAGGAGTAAAACATGCACGCTCAAAACAAAAAATCTTTCCTGGAAAATTTCAAGAGAACAATTTATCAAAAACGGCCCCTATCGATAAAAGTGAACAGATAGTGCTTTAAGGCGGCGTTCATTAACTATTAATTACTTTTTTCATACTGCCCTATTAGAAGCTGTTCTGCTGAGTACATATTATGTAACTAGCAGGAATTTGGTCATTACATGGCAAAAAAGTACAATAAAAAAACTTACATTCAAAAATACTTTAGCTTGGTACGGCTCTCCCTTCCACGTCCATCCATTCGACCACTTCGGCACCTGCAATTGCCTCCTTGGAACCTTTGGAACGACCTGCACCGGAACCTCAACACTTTTTCTCTTACACTTCCGCTTACTGGCACCGACCTTTTTAGGAGTGACAACTTTCGATTTAAGTGAAGCCGAATTATTATTATTAACATTTGTACTTTTAACAACACATTCCGGATTATTATTAATTTTTAATTTTCTGCTCTGGTCGTCTATTTTACTAGCCTCACTTCGTTTACTCGTTCTTAAAATTTCACTATACCTATTTACAACACAGTCGATTGTCCGATCGACGTTATTCTTCGCGAAGAGATGATCGAGAATTTCGGGCGCCAATTTCTTCTCGCTAATACTATTTTTAGAATTGACTTGTAACTTTTTTAACGTAGTTTTCTGGGCGGGCTCCTTGTTTTCGCTTAAATCGAACGCGGCAGAGCACTTGCCCTTGAGAGTTTTAAGGTTTTGCTTGGAATTGTGCAAGTTACTCGCGATAAGTGGCCTAGACAGTTTTGCGCGTTTCGAATGCAGCTCGTCCTTTGATGGGCTGAGTTTGCGTTTAACTGATGATTTTCTGATTTTGAGTTTTGAATTTTTAATTAACATAGGTCTAATAACGGCGTCTATGTTGAGTTTTCGTTTTCCATTATTTATTTTGATACTAGGAACATTCTTTTTAATTAGATCTTTGTAGCTACCATTCGCTTTCATGACTTTATCCAACTTTTGCTTCTTTTGTGGAGGAGGTGAGGCTACATCTGGTTTCTCATTCAAAATCGACAACTTTCGTTTCATGTTCTTCACTTTCACATTTTCGGCCACTGTTTTCTGACACGGCAGTTGATCGACACTCACCTTTTTCTCCTCTTCGAGCTCCAATGGCGCTTTTTCTTCTTTTGTGCTTACTTCAGTCTTTAAACACGGCGCAATTTTTTCATTTTTCACGCACGCCGTTTCCTCAATAGTTTCACTGGGAAGTCTAATTTCGGGAGGTTCAACTTTTGATTTTAGCGCTTCTTCACTTACACAAACTTTTCCTTCGGGGCTCTCGATTTCTCTTTTAACGTTAGTAACGCACATGCTTGCCTGCGTCGGTTGGTGGCACATCAGCAGCATGGTATTTTCGGGAAAGTTTGCAGCGATATTGTTTCGGACCATATTTTTGCCCACGCGCGCTTTGCGCCGCTTTTCTATAGGTTTACAGTCTACAGACTCCAGCTCTTCTTGCTTCGGGGCTGGTGGAGGTGGTTGGTAGGTAGCTCCCGCGGGCGAAGGAGGCGGAGGCATTCCTGCAGATCCTCTTGCTGGACTAGGCGGCCCAGTGGCACTTACTGGTTCGAGTGGTAAGGCAAGAGCTACAGGTGGCAATGGAAGTGAATCTTTGGCTATGGAAGATATATGAGACGACCTCTTACTATCACCAGTAAGAGGCCCAGTATGTACGTTTTTTGGACAAGACTGCATTGGACACGGACAACTTTGATATGCTGCATCTGCAAATGTAAGATTATTATCGTGGGTTTCTACAAATTGTGGCTAATTACTTAAATAAGGTAATGTTCTAGAAGGGGGTGAGTGTGTGTAACAGGCCGGTGGTGGAGCTGGCCCGTAACCGGGGTAGTAATGAGGTGGAGGTGGATATGGTTCTACTAACGTTGGTGGCGGAGGGTAACTTTCCAGTAATGGAGGTGGTCCACTTGGTGCTGATTGGTAAGTACTACTACTAGGTGGATTAGCTGTCACTACCTGCAAAGAGTCAACTTAGCATACGAAGTTTAACAAATGCGACATACTTGTTGATTTTGCTGAGTCGGTGCTGGTGGAGGCGGGTGATATATATCAGGTGGATTTGCTTGATAATACTGAGTGCCCGCAGGCGCTGTAAGATGCCTCCTATATGTCGGGGGAGGGTACGGTTTGTGATGTAGATAAGGATTGGGATAACATAAGTCATGATGATAAGACGCAGGATGATGTGGTGATGGATAATACTGTGGTGGATAACCGTAAGCATAACCAGGGTGGGGTGGATGATATTGTGAGTATCGATACGTTGGGGGAGGCGGAGGAGGTGGGTGCTGCGGGGGTATTGCTTCCTTTGCGGTTGTTGCAGATGTTATTATCACCTATAACAATTAACAATTTAGGAAACGCACCAAGTGAATGAATTACTTCTTACATCACTATCCAACGAGTCTGTTGTTGACGACTGTGAGTGTGTTTGGTGCGAGGGCGGAGGCGTAGGAGACGAGGAAACTTCAGATAACGGTGCCGTTTTGCCCAGTGATGTTGATTGAGGATGACCATGTTGGGGAACATTAATTAGTGGACCCGCCGGTTGGTAGTATCCTAAAAAAACAACAGCGTTAGTCAAATTACCTTTTTGTATTTGTCTGAAACATCATCCCCAAAAGATTCACCTTTGGAAAACCCTTTTTCATTCTAATTTCACGAACTTGCTCGATATTCAAAAGATTGCAAACTAGCCACGATTTTAATACTCTCATGAATTAAGTATTATCAGCCAAGGCCACCAATAAATGTTATCACTTAGATAAGTTCCATGCGCCAACTACTACACCAGCACACTCATGTAAGAGTGGCAGTTTTCATAATCGAATAGAAAATAATACGCCAACAGTCTGGAAGTAAAGCTTTGAAACAGTCAGTAGTAGGTACAACTGATGGACCATCCATAATCATTTCGAAACTCTTAGACGATACGCATTTAATCAGCAAGACCGAATTCCAGTGTTAGAAACCCATTAATTGGGAATAGAAATCATTTGAAAAAATTAGAAGTAACTAATGGAAAAGTTGGAAGAGCACACTTTATTCAGGTCAAACAAGAGCATTAGCTGGGAAGTTACAGCTTTCGAGCTCGATTATAAAGAGAGCGGAACCGACCAATTTTTTTACAAAGCAGAGAATTCTCACAAAAAAGGTTATATTATCTCAAATTTATACACCCTAACAAAATATATATTTTTCATGACAAATGAGATCATTCCAATAAGATGTATTGCATAAATCTGTTTGATCGCGATAAATTTAGAATAAATTTTCATGAATTACATTCGCCAAAACATTATTAATATGATTTGGAAAATTGCCAAAACGCAAATACCGGAAAACAAAGCAGTTATTTGTATCACAATTAATAATCACGAAACCGAAGATAATATTTCACTAGGGCAGTTAAACATTTTCCTCTTTGTGCTATCAGAGTCGATTTCCATTCTGTTTTATAGCATTATGTGTTGTTTCAAAATTTAACACCAGCAAAGAGACCTCCTATTTTTCATATCATCTTGAAAATCGGAAAATGGAAAGTGGAAAATTAATCAATAATTTCCAGTACTAGAGACAAGACAGTCACTTTTATTGTTTTACCCATAATCGTCATGAAACCTTCATTTTCATGCCTACTTGCCTACTCATGTTGATGAATCTCAATTTTTAAAGAATATGGGAAGAATTTCTGACGGACCTCTGAAGAACACTTGACGAAGCATTGAAAAATAATCTGAAGGTCCAAAATGTTTCGTTGGGGAATTAGACATGCAAAATCTTCACATTTGCATTTTTTCTCTAATGTTTTTTTCCTCCACCAAACCACCATAAAATATAAGAGGATGGTTTCTATTTTTTGAATCTTCATAATAATTTTGCTTATGAGGCAAGTACGTCTAATAGTATGTTTTTAGTTTTCCATTTTTGTATCCTCAGGTAAACATTTTTCATGGTCACAAATCAGTCACACTATTTTTTTTTAATTTATTATGACATTCATTTCCATCCTTGCCGACTGGGAAAATAGGCACACCAAAATTTACATTTGCCGTGCTATTATCACCTATTGCAGAACTTAAGAGTAACTTCAAATGAACATGAAAGGAGCAATAAATTTTAGAGTATTCTCTTATTTAATTGAAGAGAACCCGGGCAATATACCTACTGGGAAAAATTGAATGGAGAATAACTTTTGAGAAAAATGTGACGAAGAAGAGTAACTTGAGGACCTCGTAAGCGGCTTATGATGAGAAGTCAGAAGATAATATGCAGATAAACTTAAGAATTGGAAGAAAATTTAGTGGGACATTGAAGAATACATGAAAGGAACTCGAGGAAAATTAAAAGAAAAACTGGAGAGTAACAATGAATTTTACGCAAACTTCACGGGATTTTCAGAAAAATTTGATAGGAATTTGAGAGAAGATGAACTTGAACGATACTTAAAATTACTGTTTCAGTTGTAGATAAACATTCTGCCTCTTAGGTCTCCATTTTAGACTTATCATTAACATTGGATAATTGGTGGATTAAATGGTGTTGAAAATTTATAATGTGCCACTACTACGGCGGATATGTATATTTTGTATTGTTAATCCGAAAATGTACAGTGGTATTGTAAACTAAGCCATTCAGATGGTTTTAGTGGTCTCACCACCTAAAATAATGATGGGTCATCCTGTAGGCTCTATGTAAATTTCAATTATTTGTTGACGTTGACACACAACTCGATCTTGTTAGTTGAAATCGAGGTCAAGCTTTTGTATCAGAATTATTTATTTAATTATGTTAATTTTGTTTAAATAATCGCCTTTTGTTGTGATCTTTGTTCAGTTATAACGTTTTATTTTGCCAATTGATATTCCTGATTGACATTCCATTTCTGTACCTTTTTGATTCTCGTGTATATTCAATATTATTACGCCATTTAGGTATTCCATTTGAAATCTACTAGTTTGGGTGTAATTCCTGTAGTAAATTTGTTGTGTGCTTTCTTATTACTTTAGTTCTTTAGTTTGCCGATAGAGGTCATTCTAGTGTTATAGGTTTCTTTTACGATATTTCTTTGTCTTGTTGCTAGAGTTCACGCTTTGTACTTTTATGCATCTGACTTTATCCCTTCTTAAGGTTAGTTATTATGCGCAATTGTATTTCTTTTTCCCTCAGTGAAATTTCTGCTTTGGCATTGCTTACATGCACACTTTTCTTTGGTACGCCATTTACTGATTTTTTTTGTTATTGCCTTTATTTTATAGTGGGCGGAGTGTTAGCTAATTAGCTATTCTCCCCACTCAACCCACTATAGGTACAATCACAAACAGCCATGCCTTACCTGGGATTCGAACCCAGGACCCTTGTAGCCAGCGCTAGAGCTACTGACGTAAACTCATCTGAGCTACGCAGGTTGGCTTTCGTCTTACCGTAAGGGATTACTGTTTTGGCTGTGACCATTTATCTTTGGATTTATCCTCTTAATGTCTGTGGGTGCTCTATTGATACGTTTTTACAGATCTGTATTTGCATATGAACAGTACGAGGTATGTTAGATTATTACGCAGCATTCTTTTCTTAATATGTATGTTCTTTTAAGGCTTTACTTTCCTCAACCCTCAAAATAGTTTTCCGTTTACCTGGATATTACCTATAATTTGTATTGTAAGGCCAATTTTATACTTCGGGTGTCTTCGGAAATTTGGTCTGTTGGAAATCGCCCGCTCTTTTCACAACGGTTACGTGGATGAGATAGTATTTTTTACTTGGGCTCGCCATTTTAGTAAGATCGAAAGTGGCGAACATACGCGAGGGATGAGTTTCTACATTACCGACTTAGATAACTATGTGAATCTACTTCATTCCACCAACACTACTACCTACTTCAAGTTTGTACTTGGAGATGTACCAATTTGTTCCTGTTGTAACCGCAAATATAACGAACGTTTGGATATTAACGATCTTGTAAATTGCTTGATTTTACTTATGCTATTTGTTTCGCTACGAAGAACATTCCTGTTAGTTTGATTACATTGTATCCTTCAGATTAATTGTGTTATTTTGAGATATTGGCTAGCGTAAATTAGTTTTTGAAGTTACCGAGACTTTGTCCGAAGTCGATATCAACATTTTTAGTTGCGTTATCTGTTTTACTCCGAAAAGTTTGCTCATATTATCTTATCTACATTTCGAATTAATTACATTACAATGCTGTCAAAAAGAAATTTAGTTATTTATGCATCGTATAGTATTTCACTTGAATTTAACGTCACGTTCATGTTTCTGTATATGTTAGATTACCGTTTGTAAGGATTATCTGTGATCGAACCAAAGTTTTGTTTTTGTTAGTGTAAAGTTATTCGAATTATTGATTCTTGTTAAGTACTAATTACGGTTTTAATATACTATTGCTTTCGTGTCAGACGTTAGAATTCGTTACGCAATATTTTATGCGCCGCGCTATTCACTACCTCTTTTATTGGTTTGTTGTGTTGTTGTCTGTTACAGATGAAGCAGAAAGCGTGCTTCTTGAGCTCAAAAGGTAATCGACTCCTTGATATAATGTTTGATTACATACTAGTTTTCGATAGGTACAATCAAATTGTAATTATAACATTTGCTTGATATTCACTTAACGGTTATCGTTCCGTTGTTTTTTGCGGAAGCCTGTTTGCATATTAATACTTTCTTCGCTTACATTCTCTTAGAATTAAGGTTAAGAAAATTTTTATCGCAATTACTGTTAGCAATTTTGTTTTGTCATTTGTGACAATTAAGATTGGATTTATTGGGTTTTTTTGTTTATATTGTAAAAGATGAATGTAATTGTCTAGAGATAAATTGCCTTTTTTTAATAAAAAAAACTGTTCGTTTTCGTAGCAATGTTATAGTTTACATAAGATTTTTGAGTTGTTCTAAGGGGGATTTCTGTTTAAATAACGAGGTACGCGTATAGCTTTTTTGCCAAGTTCGAGGCCGGAGTGCCGTTCGTTAGAAGAAAGTTTTTAAACAAGTTTGGGGACGAATTATGGGCCTTTAAAGAAGCCGTCTGTCAAAAGCGAGACCAACTTGCTGATTTTGCGGTTTTAAAATTTGGGGTAGCAAAGTTGGTTGCATTCCGTCGTTGTTAAGCAAAAATCGTCAAAGAGAAGCCAGTACGTGCTAGCAATATCTGGTGCATTGAAGTTATGTTTCCACGTTAAACGGACAGCTGTTCTATTAAGCGTGCAGCCAGATGTCACAATCAACGTCTCTACAAGCCTGTTTGAGGAAATGAATTTAGAAGCCTAAGTTTTTGTGCGTCACGTGTCAGTTAAGTGAATTGGTTCCTTCAGTAATTAGTGTTTTTTGAGATTATTGGGATTTTGTAACTCGAAAACTGCAAGTAATTTGAGGTTTTCTTGATGTTTGTTTAATTTGTAATCGATCGCATATGCATGGTTTGTCTATTGTCTATTCGGACGCTGTGGTCCAATCTTGTTAAATAAGATTGTGTGCTTAATTTCATTTATGGTTGCAGAATAAATTTTGTTTATGTAAAATCATGCAAGGCGTGTGTTTATTCG